TTTTTATAAAAAAACATTATATTAACTATTCTAACTGTGAAATATTTTTCTCAAATGGTGTAATATTTGTACATCCATATGCATTAAGCATTGCTTTCCATGCACAAACATCTTTATTCTGTAATTTATATATTAGTAAATATATTGATTGTAACGCTTTGTTTAATCGAATAATTGAATGTCTTTCTTTTAACCAATTAAGAAATAAATTATGCCATTCTAGCATGCTACTCATGTTAAGTTTTCATGACTTTATATGTTTATCAAAAACTACATTAAGCTTTTCAATTGAATACCAATACTATGAGGTATATGTAATTATAGATTTAGTTAATTATTCTTGTACAATAAAATAATATAAATATCCAAAAAGATCGGTTCTATTGTATTTAGTTAAAATTTTAGTCTTTTTCTAAATAACCAATGCACTTTTATCTTTATAATAAAATTTTAAATCCATTTCTTTGTAAAAATCAAGAATAAATTTATTATTCACAATTTGCTGTTTTACTAGATATCTATCACCATTTTTTCCTTTTTTAGTAATTAAAGAAGAGGCAAACTTATCATATGTATCTGTATCTTCTATATTCAAAACTACTATTAAAATTATATCAAGAGTAAGAAATATCAGAATAAAATAAATATCTTCTAATAATTGTGAAGTAATATTAATCTGATTTAAACCAATTACAGCTGATCCAAAAAATGTTGTTTTGGTTTTAAAAATCATATTGTATGCTATAGTAATAGCATTTGATAATGAGGTTTGTATACTACTACTATGATTTCCACTAGTACAAATAAAACCTGGTTGTAAAATACTATCTTCTCTTTGAACAACTATTATAAAAAACTGCTGTTTGTTAAAAAATCACATAAGACGCATATATAAATGGAATGGTATTATAATTTGATTATTTTCTTAAGAATGTATAGCCTACCAATTTCATGCATACAGTTCATAGTGTAATTCATAGACTATAGACCCTAGATCCAATAAGGTAACATGATATTAATGTGCATTAGACATTATTTATAAAGTTTTTTTTTTTTTTTTTTTTTTTTTTTTTTTTTTTAGTTCTCTCTTAATAAGGCCATTTCTTCAACATAGTTTATAAAAGTGAAGGGAGGGTATAAAAAGCACAAATTAATAAAAATACTACAGTACAATTTGAATAGTTAATATAATGTTTTTTTATAAAAAATTTTAAAAAACAGAAGGTGATTGTTAAACAAAGGTCTAGTCTAAAGGATGCAGAAAGAAATATTTTTATAGAGTTTTTGAAATCTGATTACTAATTTATCTTCAATAATTAACAGAAAAAAGTTAGCTTAAAATTTGAACTGCATTTATTTATAAAGTTGTAGTTAACTCAATTATCAATAAAAGCATATGAAAGATGCAAAAAAAACAAAATAGTACATATTCAATTAATATTACATATAATAATAATTACATAACTGATAAATGCAAAAAAATGAACAATAATTATCTTTTCTATTATTGATTTATGGTGAATGTATACATACTACTTATACCTCAGAGCAGATAAGATATATAATTATTATACATCTATCGATATTTTTCAAAGTTGATTAATTAGTATGCAAGTGGATGCTATTTTATATATCATCTGTATATACAAAATAAAACTAAAATTTAGTCACTAATTAATTACTGCCAAACCAAAAAAAGTTTTGTACTTCCTATTTATATCAATGATATATTTAAACCATCTTGCTGTCTAACTCATCTTGCTGCTAGAGTTTGAAACTGAATTTATTTTTAAATTCAAATTCAATAAGTTTTTGAATTCAGCATTCCTTACTGTTTTTATAAATTTTAAGAAATCTAGCAAAAGAATCAATATTTGGGTTTATTCTGCATATATAAATTATTAGTTAAATTCAAAGATAATAAAAACCAATGCCAGATTTAAATAAATAGTATTATTTATATGCTTAAGTACAGTTGTTTGCATATTATTATTATGTGATGACTATTTAAAGAAAATAGATTTATCATAAATACAGTATTATTTATCATTATGACAATTTTATAGATAGTAAATGACCTGAAATAACATAGGCAGAAGTTTGTCTAATTGGCTAATAAATTCAATTTAATTTTACATTATTTATACAGTTTAAAGTACTTTTTAAAAAAAACAAAAACTAAATATAATAAAATAAAAAATGCTATATAGAAGTTTTCATTAGAGTTGTAGAACTCTATAACTAAAAATAATAATTTATTTTTGTTTATTTAAAAAAGTTAGCTTAGTAATAACTTGATTTTATTGGCTTTTGAGAAGTCATTACTATACTAACTTTTTTAAATG